GGGAAAGCTCCGTGCGTCAGCTCAGCACTCTTCGGCGGCCGCCTGTTGAATGTCTGACTGAAAACTCCGACCTGCCCCCGGCAACGAGCCGCAGTTTACTGGAAGCCGCCGTGTGTGTCACGCGCCGGGTCCACCTACTCCGACTAGAGGGGTGGGGAGGTGGGCGGGGGCTGACTGACAGAACGGTCCCGGACGCCGTCCAATCCCGGCACCGCACCTCTGTCTCCACCCCCATCCACCTATTCCCCCTTACCACCGTGTGCCACTCCCCTCACCTATCCCGGTCCGCTGAGGGGGCGGGAGGAGGCGAGGTCGTCCCTTTGGCTGACCCTTTAGCTGCCGGGGGAGGGGGAGCCGAGCTGTGTCACTGGTGGGGTTTGGCTCTCCGCCGGCAGCGAAGGGGTTACGAGGCGTTGTTGTTCCGCCCGATACCTGTGACCCCCCCTCCCGAGAGGGCTTTGTTTATGTTCCTGTGTGCAACGTGTCTGGAGTGCCAGAGCTTTCCACAGAGCGCGGGGGTGAATGACACCTCCATATATCGCTGCGCTGTCCTGTGTGCGGGAAAGAGCACGCAGCATGCTCGTGATGACAAGTCCACCTCATGCCTCTTCAGTAAACTTCATATGTGCCACAGGCGGAAAAATAACAACCCGGTTGCCTAGTAACGGCGACGTATAACTTCGGGCTTGTTTTCCACGGTGAACGTCCGTGCACTGGCGATGTAAACACACTTCGATGTACTCATCATAATGTACAATATATGTGTACAGACATTGATAGAGATGGACTGAGTCCCCCCCCCCATTGACAATAAAATTCTGCTGCTTAGACTTATCTCTGCTTCAAGACAGACCCGAGAATACCTCTAGACCTACATTGAATCAATATATGTATTCCGATCACATATATATCCTCCTATATGACATTTGACATTCTGTTTGCCTAAAGAAGGAACCTCTGTTGTTCCGCAAACGTCGCTATATGATGTGATAGCAATCGAGTCAATGAACAGCTTTTAACTTGAAATTCTATTGAAGTGCGAGTGACTTTATACATACACTTGTGATGTATACACATAGCTCACATATACAGTATATACAGATAGATTACATATATATTATATATACACAGATACCGCGTTTCCCCAAAAGTAAGACCTACCCCGAAAATAAGACCTAGCGCTATCTTCAGGGATTTCTGGAATATAAGACCTACCCCGAAAATAAGACCTAGTTCGGTGGTAGGTCCTATATTACAGAGATCCGCTACGTCTTACTTTTGGGGTAACTGCACATATAATAGAATTTTACAAGTGAAGACCGGCCGCAGCTCCCGCCCGCACGCATGCACACACACCCACCTGTCTGCCTCGGCTGCCGCTGAAGACTACATTTCCCAGCAGGCACAGCGCGGCATAGCCAGTGGGGTCGAAGTGGACGGCTTCAGAGCGGAGAGCGGACTGCTGCAGCCAGGTAAATATAAGACATCCCCCGAAAATAAGACCTAGTGTCTTTTTTCGTTGAAAAAAAATATAAGACAGTGTCTTATTTTCGGGGAAACACGGTAGATCACACAGAAAATAATCACCCCCTTTAAAATAATCACATTTTGTTGTTTTGCAGCCTGAAATGAAGACAGACACAGTTTTTGTTTTATCTAGCTGTATTTACTCAGTGCAACTTATAACATCCAGTCGAAAGATAAAACACCAACATGTCAGGGGAAAAAAATCAAAAACAAGCACTTGGAAAAAGAACCACCCCCTTGTGTCAATATTTTGTTGAACCACCTTTTGCTTTAATTACAGCCTTTAGTCTGTTGGGATTTGTCTCTAATAAGTTTGCAATATTTGCCCTCTCTTCTTCGTAGAACTGCTCAAGTTCAATTCAATTTGATGGTGACCGTTTCTGGACTGCAGTCTTCAAGTCATTCCACAGATTTTCAATGGGGTTCAAGTTTGGGCTCTGACTAGGCCACATTCACCCTTTTCTCCTTCATGCACACTGTGGTTTTTGCTGTGTGCTTTGGGTCATTGTCATGTTGGAAGGTAAACCTTCTTCCCATTGACAACTTTCTGGCAGAGGGCAGCAGATTTTCCTCAAGAATTTGATGGTATCTTGCCCCATCAATTTTTCCTTCAATCCTGACAACTGTTCCAGTCCCTGCTGCAGAGAAACACCCCCATAAGAGGATATTACCACCTCCATGGCTTACTGTAGGAATGGTGTTATTTGGATGGTGAGCTGTATTGGATTTCCGACAGACATATTGTTTTGGTGTTGAGGCCAAACAATTCAATTTTAGTCTCATCTGACCATGACACCTTTTTCCATGTGGCCTCAGACTCTTCAAGGTGCGTTTTGGCAAAGCCCCATCGTGACTGCATGTGGCCCTTCTTGAGGAGTGGCTTTTTTCTGGCAACCCTCCTATACAAGCCACATGTGTGGAGAATTTGTCATGTTGTCACGTGCACACAATGACCACTCTTTGTCGTAAATTCATGCAACTGCTTCAGAGTTGCTGTCTGCCTCTTGGTAGCCTCTCTGACCAGTTTCCTCCTGGCTCTTTCATCCAGTTTGGCACGACGTCCAGATTCAAGGAGGGTCTGTGTTGGACAAAATACCTTCCACTTCTTCATAATAGACTTCACTATGCTTCTAGGCATTGATAAAGACTTTGAAATGTTTTCATCCATCTCCTGACTTGTGCCTGTCCACAACTTTATCCCGGAGATCTTATGACAGTGCATTGCCACCCATAATTGATTGTTTGCTTCAGTTGCACTACCAGGGACAGAAATGCTCCAGGAAAGCTCTTTCCATGCTGAGCTAATCAAAATTACTACCGAACTGTCCCGCTTATCGCAAGTGTGGTAACGGAGCTAAAAATGTTGTTCCTCAGGGAAAAGTTGGATGCTGAAAATAATGTCGATACACTATCCAAAAAATTCTTCCGGAGATGGAAACAGTTCCTTGCTGTGACCTTTGATCAGCAGGAATTGACTGACATTATGCAACCCTTTCAATATTCGGACTGGTAACTGAAAAACAAATTATCGGGAACTTTGGGGCCGCTGGAGGTGCTATGAAGCCTAAATTGAGGTTATAGGGGGGATGGAGAATAGTAGAACCGTTTACCGTATACTGTCTATTATATATTCTGGTTTAATTTTGTATCTAGTATATACGGGTAGAATACAGCCTTTAGCTATGGGGGCAACCAGCACGGGAAAGTTGAAAAAGTTGGAATGTTGTTATTTCTGGTGCAATTGTCGAGGTAGATGTGAGAAAACCTCGTATTATCTGTATTGAATTTCTTGGTACGTTGTGGTCACACCCGCTGAGGGTTGACCGCTAAAACAGAATAAAGAAAACATTTTGTTTAAAAAAAAAAAAAATTACTACCGCAGCTGACCACAGCTGAAAGTCAAATGGCTTTGTGTGCAATTGAGAAGGTGATTAGCTACACCTGAATGAGTTTACAAGTCATTTTTAGGAGGAGGTGATCCTTTTTCCAACTCTGTGATTCTGTGTTTTATTTATTTTTTTCTGACATGTTGGTGTTATATCTTTCACTTGGATGTTATAAGTTGAACTTAGTAAATACAGCTAGATAAAACAAAAACTGTCTGTCTTCATTTCAGGTTGCAAAGCAACAAAATGTGATTATTTTAACCCCTTGCCGTCCGCCCATCGTAAAAATGCGGGTGTACGGGGGATCCTTCCCGGCGTGGGGACGTACATGTACGTGATTTTTTTTCTGCTCACGGGCGCGCCTGAGCAGAATCCTGCCAGGAAGGTAAGATCTCTGCTTCATCAGCTTCCTTGGGGGCGCTTGGAGACAATAGGGGTCTTGGGGACCCCTGATGTCTCCATAAAGAAGAGCTGTCATTGATTTTCTAGCTATCACATTGGCGGCTTTTTAGCCCCTATGTGATAGCAATCAAGTTAAGTGTAAAAAAAAAAATGTTTGAAAAAAAAGTTTTAAGTTCCCCGCTAGCACTTATACACGTAAATACGCGTTGTGCGCCTACGTGCAAAAACAACGATTACGCCACACATGTTACATATTGCTTTTTGTTACATAAAGTTTTTGCGATTTTGTGGGCGCATGCAATATTAAAGCTTAACATGTTTGGTGTCTATTTACATGACGTGACCCCGCATTTTATATTTTTTTAAAAAAATGGGTACTAATAAATGTTTTATAACATAACGTAGGGAAAACAGTTTTTTCCCCCAAATTTTCGGTCCTTTTTTCAATATATAGTAACAAATTTAAATCCCAGTGGTGATTAAATATCACCAAAAGAAAGCTCTATAAGTCCCCCAAAAATGGTATAAAATGCATTTCAGTACAGTGTTGCATGACGGAATAAATGTCAGTCAAAGTACCGCAGCGCTGAATACTGAAAAATGGCCTGGGCAGGAAGGGGGTTTAACACCCCGGTCATCAAGTGGTTAAAAACCACTTGATGACCACCTAATTACAGGGGACTCTGTGTCCCCCTAAGTCTGGTCCATGTGACACCTCATTCTGGCCCCTGGGTTTCAGTGCAACCTC